AGTGAGCCACACCAGCCGGGGCTCTTGTTTGCTTTTGATTGATCTTTAATGTGCACAGCTGAACAGACCTCTTTAGTCTGGTAACACTTCTCCGGTCAAATTTCAGTAGTTCCTTCATGTTTAGAGAATAAAACTGAGGCTCCTTAACTTGAAACTCAAGGCGCTGCACAATCTGGCCCCCAACTGCCTTCCTTCCACTGTAGCCAGACCAGTTCCCCCAAATGCCATTTCAGTTCCCACCCATGTGCATTTGCTCACCCTCCAGAGTGCCCTCCTTCTTTTCTCCAACAATGTGAAAGCGATCCTATTTTCTCTTGTTTCCCGTCACCCCTCCTAAATGTTAGTGACTTGTCTAGCTCCAGGCTCAGTAGTGAAGTAGGTGATATTCATTACTGACTCCACTTTGCTACAACTCAGTCCCCAGACGCCCTCACCACCAACACCTTCTCTCCCAAAGCTTCATGGACCTGCTCGCCCTTGGTCCATAATCTTCACCATGGGCAGGATGCGTTGAAGTGTGTGTGGGAGATGTGTGTGCGCATGCATGTACCCATGAGCTCACCAGTGTTTGCTCACCAAGCCTGGAATTGCTCCTCTCCACTCTCTCCCTTCCATTTCTGACCCGCTGTCTCTCTCAGCTGATTTCTGGGCTTCATGCCTGTGTTCTCCTTTGGTGCCTACACCTCCTTGGACTAGGAACTCGATTTCTCCTTGTGGCTTGGCTCCATCTGGCATTTCCTCTAAATGCAGTTTTCAGGAGCTGTTTATTCTCTCAACTCTAAGCATATACAACCCTGAAGACTCCTTAGGAGATGCTCTGGGTTGGCCAGGGCTTGGGAAGGAGATGGGAGTCTATTTTCATCCGCCCAATACCTCCATCACAGTTTCAGTAAGTGAACTCCAGAGTACTGGACTAACAGGGAACATGTAAAGAGGTTGCACAGCCTTTTTAGTGCAAATCAGGCCATGAAGATATTAGTTGCAATAGGTGGGAGGGGTAAGCAGATGCAGATTCACCATCAATTTAATATACGTGAAGCTTCAGGGTCTCTTTGGAGGCCTTATATCTATTTTTGTAATTTAATTTTGATGTCAGTTTCTTAAAGAGACCCTGAAAGTGATTAAGCCTCCTCTACCCCTTCATTCTCAACTTAATCATTCCACAGAGTACAACAGTGGCTGTTCTGGTGGACAGGGCATGGTAATAATGGTGCAAACTCAATGCAAGCCTGTTAAAATTTACTCCCTGCCCCATGAAATGTGGATTTCACAGCTAGTGGCAGTGTTCTGGTTTGCAGCTTTTAAATGGCAGAAAACCTTTGCTCAGAAACAGCCACATCGCTCCTAATATCTTCTTGGACCTTGACTTCTGGGCGCCGTTCAGATCTCGTATCACCGGACTGTTACTCAAATCTCGCTCGGACTCGGCATGCCACGTGTACCTCAACCTCATCTTGACTCCCTGCCAAGTGCTGCCCCCGGTAGTGCCCTCGCTGGCAGAGATCAAGGTTCGTGTTATGTTATACATCCAAACATATGATATTTATATGATTTATGCCCAACCTGGTTAATAGATATCTACCGTTGAAGCTTCAGGAGAGAGGAGGTAAGGCTAACAGGTTAGCATGACACTATCAAGAGACGCTGCTGAGTTTTCCCTTTTCCTTACTCCATTCTTTCTTTTACAGAACTCAGTTACAATAGGCATATGAGTTTTTTCTAGGAATTTCATTGAAAATCCCCAATTTTACTTTTTTATAAATCACAGAAATTAAAATCATAAGACATTCTAGATCACACATATCTTGATCCTCCATGGAATTTTGTGATACCACGTGCACAGTCCTGTTCACCACGCGCATGGTCCAACACGGATGGCATCTCACCCTTGTTAGGGATGTCTCACGGTGGTCCAGTCAACGGCTGCCCACCTCCAATGATAAGAATCCACCTCTTGTTAGATAAAGGGTAGTTAGTGTACGCCACCGCGCGCTGCCCTTCAGGGGCATCCACGAAGTACCTGCAGGGAGAGGCTCTGCGATCACAAATCCAGTCTGAAAAGCTTGGAGTAGTTCCAGAACAATCCAGGCAGGCTTGAATAGATAAGATGGGGTCAACTCTAAGATAACACGAGGATGAGATATGACTTTGAGGAAATATGAGTTCATAATAGTGATTACGGTAGCATTTACAGACTGTTACTATAGGTCAGAAGTCAGGCAGGCACCACTTAAGTGCTACATATATGTATATATTTTGATCCTCACCTGAGGATATATTCATTGATTCAAGAGAGAGGAGGGAGAAAGAGAGAAACATCGATGCGAGAGAGAAACACCCATCAGTGTCCTCCTGTACGCGTCCCTACCCAAGGACCCATCAGTGTCCTCCTGTACGCGTCCCTACCCAAGGACCAAACTGCAACCCAGGCACGTGCCCTGACCAGAAGCAGAACCTGCAGCCTCTCAGTGTGTGGGACCAGGCTACAAGCACTGAGCAACACTGGCCAGGGCAGTGCTTTAGACATTTTAGCCATTTATTTCCCACACTATTTTCGTGAAGAATATTGTCTCATTTTCCAGTTGTAGAAACTAAGGCACAGAGTAGTCCAAAGTCATGCAGCTGATAAATGAACGAGTTAGGATTTGAATCCAGACCAGTTGGACCTGGAGTCTGGACCCTGAAGCACTATTGTAGACTACCTGAATAATTGTTAACTATGAATGTCTAAACCATGTGCTAGGTTTAGACGTTCTAGTTACTTATTTGATCCTCGCAATAGCAATCCTATGAAACACGTACTGTTTGTTACAGAACAGCTACTTGATGTGGTCACCGGCCTGCAGTGTCCACAGCATTATGGGTGAGATGAGACAAATTCACATGGGCTACTGAGTCCTGTGGAGGAAAAGGGATAGCACGTGTACTCTCTCAAGAGGAGAGCACCCCGACCCTTGCCTTGACAAGCTTTTATTGGCTTTCTAATAGCATATATCAAAGAAGGTTTTCATTCATTATACTTAGGTTTGCTTTAGGTAATTACTTTTTACAGACAGCAACAGAAGGGATGTTACTGATTACTTCTTACAGATTAACAAGGAAAAAAATGTTGCAAATGCAAGGGAATGATAAGAGTAACAGGTCTGGTTACACTTCAGTCCTTGGGAGAATTAGCACAGACTTCAGGGAAGTTATTTTAAAGATATGCAGTGAGTGCTCGCTGCCTGAACTCAGGGTGAGGGAGTTTTAGCAAGAGCAAGTCACAAAGTAGCCTAGGTATAATGCAGGCCTTGTTTCCCATGGGAAAACTTCCTCTCAGGTGTGGTCCTGCGTGCCGACTCATTCCCCACTGGTTTTGCACGTGGGTGCTGAGCTACATTTCCACGCCTTGTGGAGCGGTTCCCTACAGCTAAGTAATGTGCGTGAGGTCCAACAGTACTGAAGTTGGGATTCAAATCTAGGTAGCCTGGCTCTAGATGCCCTTGGTGGTCTACTCCTGTCGATGGTGAGTGTCACATACCAAGCTTTGTCGTGTGCAGGGAAAGCAAATGACAAAGTGAGCAAGAGCAGGATAGGCATCAGCTGATAAATATGTGGGGGGAAATGAGATGCTGACTGGTATCCAGGATACCCAGAGGACTCCCGACACAATCCTTCTTGCCAAGGACAGAGAGAGGACAAACTACCTGTAGACAGAAGGAGCCTCAACAGTCAGAAAGAATGGCTTCCCTGCACAAGTACATGTAGGAAGCTGCCTCTGTGAAGAGGAAATGAGACCTAACATAATTTTCCAGTGTCCAGTTTCAGAGAGGGGGTTGGGAAGTTTGTGGTTACCTGAGTGTTTACAGTGAACATGTGGAATGAAGGTGCACCTGGGGCAAGGCAAGAAAGTTCTATCTAAAATTCTGCCCATCGGATTCCCTCTCTGAACAGTATTTATTTATTTATTTATTTATTTATTTATTGTGAGCTATGTAGTTTTCATTGTACACAAAAGACTAAGAAATTGCCTCTAAATATTGAATTAGTTGTGCTGAATATTAACCAATGCAGTTTATGACTTCATTTTTTTCAGGAATCATAAAATAAACTTCTTAGCTAAGACTGGAGTCTTCTGGAATCTACATTTCGTTATTTGTTCATTCAGAGAACAATGCGCAACAATATAAAATAATACCTAAGTGTTTAGAAACTCATATTTGCAAAGGAAATTTGTAAGTTTTTTTTTTGAGGAAAAGGTATTCATTTACAAAGCAAGTAATTATTGTAAATACTCAAGGCTTCTTAGCTGCAATCATTCAGTAAATATTTATTTAACACCGTATTCAAGGTTAAATCTATTGTGAGAAAAATATAGTTTGAATTTCAGTTTAGTGATTATTTGGAGTCTCTTTTTTTTCTTTTGAAATTTTGTTTCTCAAGAAGTAGTAGGAAAAAAAGTAGCAGGGCCAACTTCTGCTCCATTCCAGGAAGACTCGCACTGCTACATGTGCTCTCTCCAACAGACACTATGTCTCGTTCTTACTTTTCATTCACCACAGGCCATGACAGTGTCTGGCACACAGCGTGCAAAATAAGTTTGGTGCCTGGAACCCACTGAACTCACTGAATGTGCGAGTCCAGTAATTACTAATTACTAACTACGGTGTTGTTAGTAATCCGAGGGCCAACGCTAAGTGACGGGGTCTGCTCCCTCGTCCCACGTCTCACTGGCCTCATTCGTCAGCGGCGTGGAGGTGGGGGGATTTCAACTCCCCGAGAACACATTTCTAACGAAATCTCTTTACTCGGATTAGAAGCCTTTGTGGTGTGTTTCCTTTGCGGAGAGAGCACGAATTTATGGTACGTAGCGCGGCGTGCTCTAAAAAGGCACGGTCTGACCTTGATGGACACCTCTGCTGGGGCGAGGGCGCGAATTCCTCCTCCTCGTGAGTATGGAACCGCCCGAGGGGAGCCCCTCTCCACCTACAGGGGAGTTGCCTGCTCGGCTCCGATTTCCGCCAAGTCACCCTGGTTGAAGGACTTGCAGCCTTTTTCGCAGGCCTGCTGCCGCCCGCCCGCCCGGGAATTCTCCCATTGGCTTCCGCACCGCGAGGGCACCGCTCATTGGTGCTGGGCCGCGAACGCGGTGTGGCGACAGTTCCGGGATGGCACCCGTGCTGAGCGACGGGAGAATTACTTGGCTTGCGCATCTGGGTCGTGTTTTGTAGTTACACTCACACCCGGCCTCCCTCCGCCGGAGCAAGGGCCCCGGAGCAGTGTGGCAAGAAGTTGGGGTACAGAGAGGGCCTCGGGTGCTGGGCGGGGGTGCAGCACGGGGGAGGAGGCGGCGGGGGGCGCCGCGAGGCGGCACCCGCGAGCCCGGGGACATGGCGCGGCCGGACGACGAGGAGCGGGTGGCGGCAGCGCCAGGGCAGGCGCCTGCACAGGGATACCTCCCTGTCCCGGGGGCCTCGCCGGACGCGAAGATCGGCGCGGAGTCGCAGAGCGAGCCCAAAGCCTGCTGCCTGGCCCTGAATGGAGTCCCCCGGGACAGCCCCGCGGCTGCCTCGGGAGCCCTGGGCAGCCTGCAGATTCAGCTGGCGCCCGAGGAGGAGACCCAGGTTCGGCTGCTGCCCACGGACCCCGGGAAGGAGACCCCAGGGGCCGAGGGCTCGCTGGTGCCCCGGACCGCACTCTCCCCGCGGCGCTTTGTGGTGCTTCTGATCTTCAGCTTGTACTCGCTGGTCAATGCCTTCCAGTGGATCCATTATAGTATCATCAGCAACGTCTTCGAGGGCTTCTACGGCGTCTCCTCGCTGCACATCGACTGGCTGTCCATGGTGTACATGCTGACCTACGTGCCCCTCATCTTCCCGGCCACATGGCTGCTGGACACCCGAGGCCTGCGGCTCACCGCCATGCTGGGCTCCGGCCTCAACTGCCTGGGCGCCTGGATCAAGTGCGGCAGTGTGCAGCAGCATCTGTTCTGGGTCACCATGCTGGGCCAGTCCCTGTGCTCCGTGGCCCAGGTGTTCATCCTGGGCTTGCCCTCCCGCATCGCCTCAGTGTGGTTTGGGCCCAAAGAGGTGTCCACAGCGTGTGCCACCGCCGTGCTAGGCAATCAGGTAAGGACTAAGATGAGAGATGAAAATCGGATCCTTAAAGCACCAGATAAAGTCATAGGCCATGTGAGCTAGGCGTGAGGATAGGCCCTCAGGAGGGTTGTCCATAAATGGAGGAGATAGGAGACGGCCTTGGATTAAAGAGGGGTTTTGATCTATTTGTAAGGGTAGAACTTTGAAAACCAAAGTGAGCATCTAATCATCTTGCTTTGAGAATTACCTGTAAAATAATTAACTAAATTGGCCCCTGTATGCCTCACATCATAGGAAACTTGTCGGCACAGTAATGAGTGAGACTTGGGTGGGTATTATTTTTGTCACCCTCAGGATATTGCAGAAGAAGGGCGTTGGATTCTGGGACGTTTGTTCCCCTTTGAGTGATCAGTATGAACAGCCCTGTTTAATTTTGTGTAGTTGCAATTGGCAGAGTGCCTGGTACATAGCATTTATAGACACTTATAAACGACTCCTAAATAAATGTTCTAGCGATAAAGACCTCACAACATTCCTAAGTCCAATTACCAATTTTTTATGATTAAGACAATAAAGACAAATCACAGATCTTGGAATCCATTGTAAAAGGGTGGCTTATGTTGCTAAGTCTCCATAAGGGGCTTCCTAGTCTTTTCTAGCACAATAGGTCCAAACCCCATGAGCATTACTAGGAGGAATGTCTTGTGTGGTTTTTTATTTGCAGATTGATTCTTTTATTGTAATTTAAATTTTGCATATGGAGTCCTATGATATTTTATGTAAATTGTATTGAGCCGTCATTCAGCTTGAGAATGTAGTTACAAATGTGTATACCTAAAACTTCACCTCTTTGTATATATATTGCTGCCTGTAACTATGTAACAAAAGAATGTTACTTTCTTCCAGTCCAACACTTGTTTCAAGATCACAATAAGATTCGTTTAGAATCCATAAAAAAGACAAACTCTACATGCTTATTGCTTTATATTTATTTCCTTTCTCTTAAAGCACAGAAGGGGTAGCTTGAATTATCGTTGTCGTGTGTCTAAAATAATCTGTGACCAATATCTTAGTTGTTTGCTTCTGGATGCTTGGATTGGCACTGTTTTCTTAAAGTATTTTACATTTATAAAATTATATTCAAGATTAAGAATTCATTGAGCTTGACATTCATTATCAACTCCATTGCTGTGAATTATCTATTCCATGGGTAATGAATGAAAATCTTTACCTGTAGGCAGATTTCCCGCTAACACTCAGTGCAACACCTCAGCCTGGATTGTGGAGTGATCATTTGTAATAATGTCCAACATTATTCAGCACTCACTAAACCCTGTCACCATGGGGAGTCCTTCATCTGCTTGTGTCATTTAACTTAATAATGTAAGGTAGGAACTGTTACTCTCCCCATTTGATAGATACAGAAGCTGAGACTTGAAGGGACAAAATTATTTTTCTAAAGCCACACGGCTATTTCGTGGCAGCATTCACACTCAAGTCTGTCTGACTCCTGACTCCTAGCTTGTAACTACCCTTCCAATACTGCCAGGTCTCCAACCTGAGATAAACTTTTAAAATGTAGACCAGATCATGTCTTAACCCTGCTTTGAACTTGCCAATGATCTCCCATAGTACTTAAAACATAAAGTCTGCTTTGAATTACAAAACCTTACTAATCTGTCTTCTTTGGTTCCTTAAACAATACTAAACTTGCATTTTGCAGAAGCACCTTTGCAGAAACATCCCCTCTACCTGGAATGTTCTCCCTCCTAGGATGACATTATTACATCCTTTTTTGTGGCTGAGCTCTCAGTTTGAGTTCCCTTCAAATATCATTCAGTGGCAATTCTGGACAGTCCCATTTAGAGTTGCCCAGTCACTTATGACATTATTAATTCTCCATGTGGTACCTGATAAGTATATAAACTGTCTGATACATTTATATGTTTATGTTTGTATGATAATACTTCTTTATTACCCAGGTCCCATCCCCACCATTAGACTGTAAATTTCGTGAAATTAGGCACGAGGTCTGAATGTACACAAATGCATCACCAGCATTTATTACAGTGCCTGGCACACTGTAGATTCTCTATAAATTTTGTTGAGTAGTATATGAATGAGTTTCAGACTCATGTAGATACTAGCCAGCTGGATAGTTCTACTTGGATATCCCACCAATCAAAATTGACTTTGTCTCCTAGCTCATCTCTCCTCATGTCTACTGCCGCTCTCAGCTTTGGCCACCTGCAGCTCCCATCTAGAGCCTGCTAACTGGCCTTTCTGTCTGCAGCTCGCCCCCTCCCTCTGTTCTCCGCCTTCATCCAGTGAGGTCCTTCTAACAGCAGATCTTCTGGGGACTCCCCTGCAGTAGACTTCATTGCCCCTAGGATAAAAGTAAAACTGTGTTGTGACAATGTGTGACCTCCAGCTCAGCCTCCTGCCCACTCCTCAGCTTCACCTCTCTCCATGCCACCCCCCATCCCATTCTCACATTCATAGTTTCTCTGCTCTGAGGGAAACTGTGCTCTTCTTGTAATTTCCCACAAGGTCATGTTCTCCCCTTCCTTTGGACATGGTGTCCCCTTGGCTGGGAACACTTCTTCACTTGGCTTTCTCCAATTTCTTTACATTTTTTAAATCCCCATCTGAGGATATGTTTATTGATTTTAGAGAGAGGAACTGAGGGTGGGGGAGAGAGAGAAACATCAGTGTAAAAGAGACATCCATCAGCCGCCCCTGTACATGCCTGAACTGGGCATCAAACCCACAACCTGGTTATGTATCCTGGCTGGGAATTGAACCTGCAGCCTTTTGGTGCACAGAACAACAATCCACCCAACAGAGCCACTTGGCCAAAAAACAACAACAATTTCTTATTCAGAACTTTGTTCCATCAGAAACTTTTCCTGAACTCCAGGTCGATCCAAGGTGCCCCTCCAAAGCACTGTCTTGGCTCGGGTGACTATATGTTCCAGTTTGCCCGGGATAGTGCGGGTGCCCACTGTTGTCCTGCGTAACTACTCCCAGGATCCCTTTCGGTCTGAATAGTGTTCTTGTTTGGTTCATAAATTACTTGATCTTCCCAGTCTTGTCACCTCGCCCTCTCCATCACAGTATTATACTCACCACACACTCTCTTGTGTGTCTGAGTGTAGGGTTCTTTTGTTTGTCTAATACATCTGAACAGAAGGTGTATATGAAGAATTGAGACATGAGAAAGCATCGGTTCAACACTAACAAATCTCTAAGGATTAGGATTTGGGGAAGGTGGAGATTACCTAGATATTTTAAAGAACTGGAAACTGCAACTAAAATCTGCTGATAAAATCCCCATTAACGCTTAAAAAGAGTTTTCATAAGACTCTCTATGATTTTTATTAGACTAGAGAGCCTCCACTGGCTGCCTTAGGGTTCCTCATGCAAACACAAATTAGGGGATTCCTAGGACTGGTCCCCATGTCTTTACACGTCCTCCCCACCCCCACCCCACCCCTAGCTTCTTCATGAAGCAGGTCTCCATCCCATAACTGGGAAGAGGATGTGAATCATCCCACAGGCATCCTTCTTCCAGTGCCACCCTCAGGGATACCAGGTCTCCATGTGTTCTAGGACACCATGTCACACACTGTTAGGCTGCACTTTTATGCTAGCCACATTAAACAATGACTGACAAGGAAGAAATATTGTTTTGTTTTTTAAATTATGTATTCAACCCATTGGTGTTATTGCAAAAGGTGCGACACTTTTCTTCATTTATCAGGGACAGAAGTTAGACATTAACTTCAAAAAAATCAGCAAATGGTTAACAGAGTTCCTTGAAAGTCTGTAATGTCTGGAGTGCATCCTAGAAAGGAGGAGGGGCAAGTCGGGTCCCGCCCACTTTCATGAGCTTCACCAAATACCGAACCCACTCAAGGGTGAAGAGAAAAGGCAACTTTCAAAACGGAGTGTTTATTAAGTGAGGTACTTGCTACGCTCCTTCCTAAGGGCACCAGGTGGGGAGCATGTTTTCTCAACTAGATGTCGGAGGTGAAGTGTGGAATCACTCCATCTTCCTCCCCTAAAGGGCTGTCCCATGCTTACGGAATTTTTTTAAAAAATGACTAAAGAAAAACAAACCCTACACACACTTTCCCCACCTACCTCCCAAGAAAAAGAAAGATAGATAAAACCAGATGCCCCTGATCACTCTCCAGAGGGAACCCGGGAGCAGCTTCAACGACCCAAAGTAGTCCGTTACAGAGTCATCACAAGCACCCTTGCTTTTAAACAAACAAACAAACAAACAACATATTTTCTGAAAAACAACAACTAGGACTGGTCACTTTTCTGGCAGTACACAATTACTCAAAATTAAGTAGTATTGAGAGGCAGAAAGGGACCACGCCCCCGGGTCTTGTTTCGCTCAAGTGCACTTGGGTAAGTGCCGTGCATTTGTCATTCCTGCAAAAATGAATTTTAATTTTTAGTCTTGAGTTTGGTTTAAACATTACTCTTAGTGTGATGCTGACACCTGCTGTGCAGGAAGGGCTCTGGAGAGATGCTCACAGCAGCACACACTTGCGGCCCTTCAGTCGTGGAGGCTCCAGGGCAGCCAACGTTGCTTCGTCAAGTGCATTCTCTAGGCCTTGCTGTGTGAGTGCAGAACACGACACATACTTGGCAATCTTCAGATAGATCACCGGCCAGCTTTTCGGCAGTCTCCGGAGTGATAGGCTTCTGTTTGCTCTTGGCGACTTTCTCAATAGTTGAGGGTCATCTCTGAATCATTTTGGGTCCCAACAAGCAAGATAGAAGTCTTCGGACAGTGCTGAGTTATCTCAGGCACCCACTTTTCTTTCACCTTTTCAAATGAGGATGGGGAGAGCACTGAAAAACAGGCTAGAAATACATCTGTGTGCGGATAACTCAGTGGTCGTAATCTGTTATCTCTTGCCTTGCAGTATCATGAAGTCCTTGAGAGTATAGCTGGCCACCAGTCATAACTGTGGCAGCATAGTTGTCAAAAACAGTCAGTTCATACTCAGATGGAAATTTGTTGCGTAGGATATCAGGAGGTGTGCTTTACCAACAGCACCATTGCCCACGACAGTGCACTTAATTGTCTGCATTGCTGAAACCGTTTTCTATCCACTTTAAATATTTTGGATCCGACGATGTCCTCAGCCTCTCCACAGGGCATTCCTCACCACACTCTCCTGTAATTATCTGTTTGTCTCTGTCCTGCTTTTGGTAAGGGAGCAAATGAAATATCTGTTAAATGTCATCTCTGCCTTCCTCTCCTTTTGTAACCTATTTCGGGCCCTTGCTCTTCACTTCCATCACCCAAAGAATCTAATATCTCCCTCCACTGGGCCTCCTTTAATACTTTGATTTTATTTCTCTCATTATGATTGTCATCACATTCAGCCTCCTATTTTCCTTCCTCATGTGGAATCCACATACAAAAAAGAAGCCATTCTGAAGTGTGCGGTTCCGTGGCATTTCCTGCGTTCACAGGGTTGTGCAGTCATCAGCTCTGTCTAGTCCAGATCACTCTCATCCTCCCTCAGAGAAGACCCCGTGCCCACTAAGCAGTCCCTCTTCATTCCCCCTTCTTTCAGCCCCTGCCATCGGCTGACTTGCTGCCTCCCTCTGGATTTACCTACGCTAGATATTTCCTCTGAATGGAGTCGTACAGTATGTGAACTTCTGTGTCTGGCTTCTTTCCCTTAGAAGTGCACCTCGTGTATGCTAGCTGTCCTCCTTGTGTTGTATTAATTGGCAGTATGTACTTTTGTCTCTCCTAATGTTGCGGAAAATAACTCACACACGGGGGAGATGGTGGAGCAGGATCCTTTATTACGCGCTTGCGGGCTCAGAGGGGTAAAATTCCCAAATCCTGAGCAATGAGCTCAAGCTGGAGTTTCTTTTATATGCATGTCACACAGGCAGAAGGAGGAGGGGAAGGAGTGCAGCTGCTAAAACGGGGGTTAGTGTACGACCTTGAGATAACTGCTTATCTGGGAAACGGCTGCTGCCTGAGAATGGCTGCTGGTCAGCTCCTACCTAAGAATAGCTATTGCTCAGCTATGTCCTGTTACACTAATAACAGCTGTTAACAGGACTGTTTATTTTACAGCTCGGAACTGCGGTTGGTTTTTTGCTGCCACCAGTTTTAGTGCCCAACACACAGAATAACACAGATCTTTTGGCTCGTAATATCAGTACCATGTTTTATGGAACATCAGCTGTCGCCACATTTTTATTTGTTTTAACAGTGATTGGTAAGTGAATTATTTTCCCTAAAGCTTAAATAGATAAATGCATGACAAACATGTGGGAAAAAAAAAGTAACCAGTCCTTTGTGTTGCTATCCTTTGTGAAGATTTGTGTTGCTATCTCAAATGCCGTTTGCTTGTTTCATTCTTGCTGTGTCACTGCCTTGCTCGTAAGGAATGCTCTAGCCCTAGGGCTCTGTGATGGTCTATCTATTTAATGTTGTAAAGGGTTTGAAGACTAATTCATCCCATTAGTCCCCCTACTAACTCTTCCTCCCTGATCAGTGTCAGTTTCAAACACATTACCTGCCTCCTCTTTGCATATGCCTCTATGTGATCTGCATTTTGTGCTAACCCAGCAGGGAGCAAGTTCTGGTCAATGTTTCGAAATGATGCACACAGGCGACAGCCTTCCTTTTAATGATAAACCCTTCCGAGGACCCTCAGTTTAACAAGTAACTGGATCTGAAAATGTCACCCAGTGAATGATCCTGGGCAGCGGCAAGCTGTTCGGCAGAATTTCAAACTGTGGCAACCATCTACTTGTTAGGCCCCCTGCCAAGCACTGCTGCCACCAGCCGTCCCTGGGTCCTGGTCCCTGAGTCCTCGTCCCTGAGTCCTCGTCGGGGCCTGTCTCTTGAAGCAGTCAGTCCAAACCAGCGGCAAGCTGCCATCGTCAGTTTGGAAGAAGGTTTGGGAAGGTCTGCTTTTTAAAGTTTATTTTTAATGGGAAACAGTTTTGATTTCACGGAAAAGGATTTAAGAAGACAGCTGCTGACCGAGTTAGGACACTGCCCCTTAGGCACTCAGTAGATCTTGTGTGTTTTTTTTAAGATTTTATTTATTTATTTTTAGAGAGGGAAGGGAGGGGGAGAGAGAGAGACATCAATGTGTGGTTGCTGGGGGCCGTGGCCTGCAACCCAGGCATGTGCCCTGACTGGGAATCGAACCTGCGATGCTTTGGTTCGCAGCCCGCACTCAATCCACTGAGCTACACCAGCCAGGGCGGCACTCAGTAGATCTTAATTTGAAGAGGAAAGTTACTTCAAAGTCGAAAGGCCATCTTTTAGTCATTACAATTTACAATTAAATTGGGGTTTTTAATTTACATATTAATTTTTACCATGGCTATAAAGGTAATGAAAAATTCAAGTGTTATGATCTCCAGATAAGAAATCCTCAGTTTTCAAAGAGAGGTACGCCAAGACTGTAGAGAGTTTGGATAGAGACTGCCTTTACAGATGAACTCCGGGACCCAGGTGCAGGAAGCTCAGCCCACACCTTAATTTCCCTTAAGACAATGAACAGAGAGAGTATTTTCTTGGTAGCGTGAAACGTATTCTGACACATGCAGCCTACTTATGGTTGGTTTTGTGTTTCAGGGAGTGACTGGCATATTCGCTGTGCGCAGATGACTTGAAAAAGGCCAAATTACCCCTGCACTATTTTAGCAGTTTCAAAAGGAAGTTTTAAGGGAAATCTATATTTTTAAAAAGCAAACTCGTTTTTCTGATAGCCATATTTGATTTGCTAGGTGAAGTATAGTTCATATGTATTTTGCATTAATAGGCCTTTTATGCAGTAGGGATTATAAAAATATAAAATTCTCTTTCTTTGATTGCTTATAAATCTTCACATAAATTCTGGTTTTCCTTTTTTTTAATTGTCTTCAATTGTCTCTTTGAAAGAAGTGACAGAGTAATGGATTGCTTATAAGATATCTGTTGATGCAAAGTTATTATATACATGCTCATATGTGTTTAAACATGTATGTGAGATGCTACAAATAGAAGATTTTTACCTGTTAAGGGAGGAGGAGAAAAAAATGATAATAGACGTGACCATGGGCGTATGACCCTGTGTTATTTGAGAAATTAAAAGAGAACTATTTATGTACATAATTACTTATTTACGTACTCATGGCTTGTGAGTAGACAGTGGAAACAGAAATGCAGGTGGGGAGAATGGAAAAATTGGACTGGAAATGGAATAGGAGAACAAGGGCTTATCGTCAGTTTTTGCTCGCGACCTGTGCTTTTAATCTTATGATACCAAGTGTAGTAGAAAAGTAAGATAATGTACAGTTGTGATGTGAGTCTTAGGTTGAAAATTGTGACATTTAAATAAAAAATTTTCCTGTTTCCTTATATCCAAATATTTCCTATTGAGGAAAATTTGGGTTATTTAAAAGTCCTTACTGAAAGGTCCTTAATTACTGAGAGACAGTCCTACTTTCCTCTCAGTTCTGCCCACGAATACTGCTTTGGGAGCCCCCCCCCCCCCAAATCTTACAAAATAGTGTAGGTTGCTGGTGTTTCCAGCAATGCGCTATACACTGACCTGGCGCACCCAGCCCCTTTCCTGAAATGCTCTCTTAAGGGCTCACGCCATGCACTGCTCTTGCCCTCCCTCACGGAGCTGGGGGACCATCCCCCTGGCACTTCTGGGAATTAGCACAAGCCTTCCACCGAATTGGCACCGCCACTCCGTTCTTCCTGGGAGGACTCTGTTATGGCCCCTAACATTCGATTGTTTGACAGGTGCCAACCGTGCCTGCAGGCACACTGTCCCTTTACCTCACTGAGCCCTCACAGCCCCGTGAGGGCGACACTGTTATCATCATTCCTGTTTTATAGACGAGGAAACCGGGCGCAGAATTCCAGAAAGTGTAACCTCCCCAGGGTCACAGCTGCTAAATACTGGAGATTAAGTCTGAGCCTAGGCAACCTAACTCCATATGGAAAATGTCATATATGAAAATATATCATTTTAATTTTTATTTACTCTTCTTTTTTGTTGTTCCAATTGCAATTCTGGTGTCAGTGGCTGTTGTGTTTGAAAACTCCACAGCAGGGCAGCCCAGTAACCGAAGTGTGCCAGTTCAAACCCTCACCTTCACGACGCACTGAAGGGAGTGGGTGGCAGAAAACAGGAGTAATGGAATCAAAGTATCTCTGTTAATTCTCTTAAACATGTGAGCATATCCATGTGTGCACAGTTTTACTTTTGATTCTTATAGGCACAGAATATTTATATATGAGCTGCTATTGTAAACTTTTCACAGAAATACATTTCACTTCTTCCGTAAGAATTTCAAACCCCTGAGATAAATTTAGTCTCTGATCTTTACAAATAAAAATATTACTAAAAAAAAGTAAAAGAAAGTAAATAAAAGGAAAAAAGTGTATTTTGTGTAGCACTCAATAATTATAAAATTCTTTTACATGTATCATATTATATAATCCACATAATTGTTTGGTTATTCCAATTTTTCGGATGAGAGAGCTATAGTCAAAGACAGGAACTGACTTCTTCAGAGGTGGAGCCAGGATTCAAGTGCATATTTGTCTTATAATAAGTTAATATGTTAAATATCTGCTTGAATCACCCAGGGACAAATAATGAAACTGAAAGGTAGTGTTATTGTCTAATTTCAAAAGGAAGAAGTGGTCCCATGAAGACGATTAGCTGGTTCATCATGGGAGAGGAAGTTTGAATGTGGTGCCCGGAATCCTTTGGCTTCTCTGCATGCTTGCTGCCCGGGGTGGAGAATAACTACTTTAACGGTTCATTATTTTATTGGCACAAGTTTTTGGTGGGGAGAAGAGAGAGAGTAAGACAGCAATTGTTTTTCAGTTTCAAAGAATAAGGGAAAAGACATATTTTATTCTTTGAAAATGCAGTACAACTTAAACAGGATTTTGTTCCTTTTTCTTTACTTTCATATAGACTTAAACCCAGCGTTATTGCATTGTGTAGCTGGTCGATACAGGCCTGATTTCAGCTGAGAGGGCAGTTGACTGCCTGAAACAAAAAGATAACACTTGTATTCAGACAATTAATCTAGTGGAGTTAAAGCTATTAAGGATTGTTTTTATTTTGCATGTGAGTTCAGAACTGAGCCACTTAGACTTACCTTACCGTAGTAAAACCTAAGAGACGTAAGACTCTACCTAAATATTCATGACTACCTTGAATAACGTTTTTACATTCTGAAACTTTGTTTTACAGCTGTGTGAGTTCTCTATTATCAATATTAATAAACAGAGGTATCTCCTATCTTAACTAGGCCACTTGCAGGAAAGGACAGCAGCCGTCCTCTGCAGTGCAAGGAGCAGATAGGGCGAGAGGAAGAGGAGGAATTGCGGCCACTTAAAGTTTTTATGTCTACCAGTCCTCCAATGTAAGAATGTTAAAAAGTAAATACTTATGAGTTGTGTCTCCTCTTGAATTAATTCAGACACCTGTAAAAGTAGAAGTCTGTTTTAGTTATGGCATAATTAATCCATGTTATGGTGAATAAGGAACTTTATTTTGTTCTTTTTACTTTGAGCGGTAAACAGGAGAATTTGAGAACTACAGTATTATATAAAAGTTTTAAGGATGATTTCTTTGACAGTGATTTTCAAACATGGCTGAGTGTTGATAGCATTTGGAGAACTTTGTGTTTAATACAGATTCTCAGGTTCTGTTCTGGAAGTTCTGATTCATTGAGTCTTGGATAGACTCTTAAAGTCTGTATTATTTTTCAAGTTCTACAGGATTTTGATTGACAGCCAGGCTCATTAGATTTAGCCCACTTTTGAACTACAAAGCAGGCCTTCCTTGTTGGAAGAAATAGCCACTATTAAAAGAGGAAGTTCTGATCTTTTAGAAAATATTACTTTTTTCTGAATCCATTTACCTTCTTTTTTTGGTTTTTGAATTTACCCTATTTCATTGATTCTAAAGTGTACATTTTTAAATGAAGTCTCTGAAATTGAAATGTTTTTAATAATCAATGGCCTGTCACAGTGGCGACTGAGACATGATTACGTGAAAACCTACTGATAACCTGGCAAGATCACTGAGTGCCAGCATCAGACCATCTTAGATTTCATGAGGCAAAGAATTTCACATTTGTCTTAGTTTCAATTTTCGAGTCAGTACTAAAACTAGATTTTAATTTCCAATGTAGCAAATGTTAGCAGTTCATCTCTCCTATGAAGGAAGTAGTCTTGACTTCGGGCCAGCCAAACCCTGCAGAAATCTCTCCTTAGTCATCTGTTGCAGGAAGTGTATAGAACCTTCCTGTCCAGCACAAGGGCAGTCTCTCAACGGCTGGCTGAGAAGCCTGTCTCTAACCCCGTGGACGGGCTGTGCTAATGAGCCTTGCAGAACCAGAAACCATCCCGCTTCATGCCTCTCAGCTCTGCCCCTAGCTCTTCCATGTGCAGCTACAGGGAGTCAGCAAGAAGGACCAGCTCTGCTCCCAGCATGCACCTGGACCTTTTCATTTCTACAGGTGTGCTTGGATAGATAACATTTATACCAGATTTCAGAAGAAATAGTTGCTACCTCAAGACAATCCTCTACAAGTTCAATAATGTATTGGCTGCTCTTATCTGATGTCACCTCTAATTATAGATTGAACTAAATGTAGCAGTAAATTGTCGAATAGTTAATAGAATAAAAATTAATCTTGCTTAACAAAAAGGAAAATAATCAGTGGGTGAGGTTGTGATATAGTATTAATGATTTCTCCGGGCTTTTGTTTGTTTGTTTTGCAGTTTCAAATGGGCCAGATCTTGGTTTCAGTCAGTTTCACTGCCAAACTAGCCATCACTTAGAAGTTAGTGAAAGAAGAAAGGCCTCACTCTTGGACTTTCACTGCCTCTTTAAACCTAAACCGAATTTAGTGTGCTTACTAAGGCAGTTACATTTGTTTAAGTATCTTTTCTTGTATTTTTCCAGCATTCAGAGAAAAACCTGACTGTCCGCCCAGTCAGGCCCAAGCAGCCCTTCAAGACGCCCCACCTGGCCAGTACTCCTATAAGAAATCAATAAGGAACCTGTTCAAAAACATTCCTTTTGTCCTTCTATTGATCTCTTATGGTAAGTGTTTCCTTTTATCCTCTTTGATGTCTGTATAAACCTTTGAGCATTGTAGATTCTTTTCATATTTTTGCAGTGGCTTGAGCTTTAATTACTGAGGATTGTTAGCTCTACAAAAATAGTAATAAGAGTCCTAAACTTAAATTTTGAACTCAAAGCAAAAAAACTTCAGGATGCATTTTCTTACATGTTTTTAAAATAAATAGATCTCAAATAGGGAAGTATTGTCTTCTTTTGTGGGTTCTCATGGGTATTTTAGGTCCTTTCTGAACTATAGTTACTGGCTGCTGTGAACATGTGGCAAATGCCACCAATTCTTTTGTTTGACCTGTGTAGACCGATGTCGATCCTGACTACTTGATTCAAACCAGACATTAAGGAGGTCACCGTGACCAGTTCTAACTTTAAAAAATTCTCATCCTTCCAGATCTTTTAGGATGGCTGGCAGATACTCATCTTCACTCTGTAGCTTTGACTACAGACACCAACGCACTTGGTTTGCTTCAGAGATTTCTGACAGTTTATTCTTTGTTTCTTACATCAGTACTGTTGTATCAGCCACCAGCACCCCCTATATCTGTCTTACTTGCCTTCAGAAATGGCTCTCTGCTGTCTTCTTGACATTTTGCGGGAGGGCATACCCTAGTATATAACTGCTTTATAGCTTGTAACAAATTATGCCCTGACTTAAACTCTCAGTCTTTTACCAGGATTAATTCCTTTATATTTTACTGGAAATAGTTAAATGCAAAGGTATTACATTTAATCTAACGGATATTTATGTACCCACCATCACTCAACTTGAACACCTATCGTCACTTCGTCATTCTTACTCTATCTCCTCTCCTTTTTCCCTGGAATATTTTAAAGCAAATCCCAGGTGTTACAGCATCTTATTGTTAAATACTTCAGCATATCAAGTTCCTTTTCTTAATTTTGCTCTTTACCTCCACTGGTTAGCTTAAATCTAAAGCTACTAATTAGGAAGTAGAGTGGTTCACTATTATCTGTTAGAGCAAATTCGTTTCTTTAGCCTGTCATTTAAGGTGGCTTTTCTCCAGTCTTCGTTTATCTCTTACTGTTTCTCAATACAAAATTCTCTTTCAGCCAAGTTTATAACCAATCTTCTGTCTCACGCACTCACAAATCTGCCTCCACATGCACTTGTATACTGTTAATTCTGGTCTCTAATTGTGTGCCAGTATTTCTTGTACTGGAAATGTGCTCCTTTTTTCCCAAGCAGTTCTACCAGAGCTAGCTTCCCAGTTACCTCACTCATTGTTCATTTTGTTATTTATTCATGTATTGATATCAACAATGGTGCTCTAGATGCTGTGTGAGCTAGGAAGAAGAATGATACACGATTTCTGTTCTGAAGTAACTATAATTCAATTGGGGAGATAGTAGAAACATCCTAAAAACAAACAGCAGTGTAAGGGATATTTATCAAAAGGTAACAGCTTGCGCCCTGGCTGGCATAGCTCAGTGGATTGAGTGCGGGCTTCAAACCAAAGTGTCACAGGTTCGATCCCCAGTCAGGGCACATGCCTGGGTTGCAGGGCACAGCCCCCAGCAACTGCACGTTGATGTTTCTCTCTCTCTCTCTTTCTCCCTCCCTTCCTCTCTAAAAATAAATAAATAAAATCTTTAAAAAAAAGACATCCTCTTCTCTTAAAAAAAAAAAAGGTAACAACACAAGAGAAGTTGCATAGCAAGTGTGTGCTAAAGGCACACACTTCCATGATCACCAAAGCGGAAAGTAGGAAACGTCACTTTTGCTCCCTTTAAAGACATATGGCCATTCCGTTAAGTGCCTGGAAAGAGAAAACTAGAATACTTGTCAACAACTGTAACGACTAGATGGGGATCGGGGTTACCTCTGGGGAAGAACAGGAGAGAAGGGTGAGATTAGGGCAGGTCTGAAAATGAAATCTGAAGCAAAGATGGCAAAGTGTTTGTGTTTGAAAAAGCTGGGTGAAGAGCAAGAGTGTTTGCTAAGTTATTCTCTGTACTATTTTGTATGCTTGAAATATTTAGTAAGAAAAAGAGAGAGAAATAATAAACTTAAGTTTCAACTAAGTTAAGGGACTCACTTGAAGTCACACATCGTGTGCAAGGAAAAACCAGGACTCAAGCCTCGTCAGGCTTCCTGATAACCAGCTGTTTTTATTTTTCTCTTTTTAAGCATTCTTAATTAATCTTGTCTTACTAATTGCTGTGCAAGTCTTGCTGCAGGGGTGAGATCTCCGAGGCAGGGTTTCTGTCTTGCACTGTAATGCTGAGTAGCTCGAGGGCTCTGTGGGTGCTCAATGACCAAGCTGTGGCTTCATTGCCGTCCACAGTGTTGTGTGTGGGGATTATGGTTTGTGGTTGTGGTATATCAGTGTGTACGTAACAATAGAGAATGCACTGATAGGATGTTCCTGTCATAATCTCTAGTAAGTTAAGTGTTAATTGTATCAGTCCACATCCTGAAAGGGAATGGCAGGAGTTCTTCATTTTTTCTGTCAAATGAGAAATATATTATTGTATTTTGCCAAGTATAATGCACCCCTGTGTATAATGCACACCCACATTTTCATCCCAAACGTTCAGGGAAAAATCTTTTGTTTAAATTTTCTAATTCAATTTTTTATTCATTTATATTTAGATACTTGTTCTTTGCATTATAAGGGAATTTTAGCATTTATTTTGAACATATTATGGTACAAGAAATTTCATGTAACAAACAATTACAGAACACAAGAAAAGATAGAAGGTATTTCAGGTATTACCCATGTATAATGTGCATCCTTATTTTTCCCTAAAGAAGTGGGGCAAAAATGTGCATTATACATGGCAAAATATGGCGTATTTTCACAATTGTCATAGAGAACTCCATAGCACTTTATGAATTAGTAAATGGTACATTTACAGTTTTCTACTTATTATTGTAGGTATCATGACTGGAGCATTTTATTCAGTTTCAACGTTATTAAATCAGATGATACTGACATATCATGAGGTAAGCTTCTGACTATATTGTGTTGCTTGGCTGGCCAAGAATTTTTCTTTAGCAGTGGTATTCCGGTTGGATGACCCTAAGATTAAAGGTTTAGGACCTTGTTGCTGTAAATGATTTATATTTGTTTTAATTGAGAATACATTTGCCCTGGCTGGCGTAGCTCAGTGGATTGAGTGCGGGCTGTGAACCAAAGTATCGCAGGTTCAATTCCCAGTCAGGGCACATGCCTGGGTTTCAGGCCACAGCCCCTTGCAACCACACATTGATGTCTCTCTCTCTCTCTCTCTCTCTTTCTCCCTCCCTCCCTTCCCTCTCTAAAAATAAATAAATAAAATCTTTAAAAAGAGAGAGTACATTTAATGCAGTTTGTAAAACATACAAAATGGAAAGCAGAAAATATTATAGCTTTGACAATGCCTGTTTTCTTTTTATTCTTTAAAAAAATGTATTTTATTCCCACGTGAGGACATGCCCACTGATGTTAGAGAGAGGGCAAGGGAGGGAGGGAGAGGGAGAGAAACATCAGCGTGAGAGAGAAGCATCAATGGCCCCTCCTGCACGCACCCTGACTGCAGCCCAGGCATGTGACCTGACCGGGAATCGAACCCATGACCTTTCGGTTTACAGGACGACACACTAACCAACTGAGCCACACCAGTCAGGGCTCTACTATTCTTTTTTAAAGAAACTTTGTGATTGGTTATATGGAAAAAGACAAAAATTTTAAGGAAAACTAACACAAGCATAAAGAAGTAAATATCAAGCTCCAACTTCTCTTCGCCTTTGAAAGGAGAGAGCGGTTGTAATATGTAAAGGCTGTCAGATTAACCTCCTTTTCAGCATCTGTGACTGACTTAAGAATTCTAACTAAAATCATTGTACTTCTTCTTGTGGAGAGTCAAGAAAATTTTCCTTTAAAAAAATTTATCGATTGATTTTTAGAGAGAGAGAGAGAGAGAGAGAGAGATGAGAAACATTGATCTACAGTCCCACTTATTTACACACTCATGGTTTCTTCTTGCGTGTGCCCTGACCTGGGACTGAACCTTGATCTTGGTGTACTGGGTCAACCCTCCAACTAACTGAAATATCTGGCCAGGGCAAGAGAAGTTTCTTTTTGATGTCTCCATATTTTAGGGTATTTCCCCCTGATTTTAGAGTACAATAGAATGTCCTTTATATGTGCTTTACCTTCCCCCGTCCCCATCCTAAAACACATACTGAATCTTCCTGTTATATTGTATGCTTGACCATATCTAATTAATTCCATTGGCTGTGTGAAGGTATGAGAACGTGAAGGATGTCTTTGAATTAGAAGTGTCTGATTAACTTCTCATAAAAATTCTTTTAAGGGAGAAGAGATGAATGCTGGGAAGATTGGGCTAACACTAGTGGTAGCCGGAATGGTGGGCTCCATTCTTTGCGGCTTATGGCTGGATTATACCAAAACATACAGGTAAGCAAAAGTAGATAAATGTATGGTGTGCAATCCAGGGTATTTTGGTTGTAAAGAAAGCTTTGCTTTTTACTTAAAAAAATGTTAAAAGTGTTATTACTACCAGACTCGGATTCTAGGCACGCTTAGGTTCCTTTCTCTTCTGAACATTTGTATAGCCTGTATCTTGTCTTACTCTGTTGGTCATATTTGTTCAACTTTGAGGACTTGCATACATTATGAACCTCGTTCACCTCCAGCAACACTCTTACATACCACTTCTATTCTAAAAAAAAGTCCTTTCTGAGAAACATTTAACTCTGACAGAAATTTTTTGCTGCTCTGTTGTGAGTTTAAAAACAAGTAAAAAGTTGTTCTTTACAATCAGATTATTATTATTGAACCTAAGTATTATTGTGGCAAAAAGTTTTGACTAACGTGCCCTCAACTGTAGCACCACTTAACTATAATACGACACATAATACGAGAACACTACTAATCGTATGTCTGTGTGAAGTCAGCAAAATGCGAATACAGAAGAAAAAGTGAGTAGCACCACCTGGAGGCTGAAAGGGGCTTCAGAGGCAGCGGCGGTTGTGCTGGGCCTTAAAAAACATCGCTACAGTTTTTTTAATAGACAGAAACTTTCCATCTGCTTCGGAGGAATGCATGAAGGAATGAATGAAACTGAGGTGAATAAATGGAACGAATAAAATGTGCAACTGTGTCCTATGCACGTTCAAGGCCCAAGATATGTTGAATACCTTCATCTAAACCCTTTCAAACTGCCTCTGACCTTGAAGTCCCCGAGGTAGTTCTCCTGTGATTGAAGGTAGTGTTGCTGCAGCTTCACCATCATGCAACGGTGCTAGAGTGAAACCCACTGAATTTATAGATGAAGGGGGTGTGTAAAGGGTTAAATTTATTAACAGTTTTTGATCCACTGTGTAATCAGAAGACTTGAGAGGCGTTGAGACGTGTTCTTTGTGGCCCTGGCTGACTTCTCAGGCTAGCTGCGGCTGCGCACCGCACTCTCAGCTAGGAACTGTGGCGAGCGGCGTACGGTCGCTGTCCTTAAGGCACTTGTGGTCTAAATGCGAAAAACAAGGTGTTCATGTGTGAAGAATTAAATATAACATTATGGACTAAAATAGTTGTCATAATTCCAATAGGCGTCAAGTGCCACTTACGTGTATAGCAAAATAATAAGGGAACTCAGAAGAAAGAAACAACAGTATGCGCTTCAATGGTTAGGGAAAGCATTTTAGAAAAGGTGGAATTTAGTCTGAGTCCTGAAATACAGATAGGGAACCATCCCCTTTGGAGACATAAAAATGGTTTTATCCGTGTGAATATTCCTCCCTGTGTGAGCAGGAGACGTGGCGTGGGCTTTGTTGTTGGCCGCTGTCAAAGTTTAAGCTTGGAGCCCATGCTTTGGTGGAAATATGTTGCATAGATAACGGAAACCTAATCTTGAAAACCACAGTATTTATTGCTGTGTGGACAGAGCAGTAGCTGACCACATGATTTTTATGTTTCTGACATAATCCTAATAGTTTTTTGTTTTGTTCTAGACAGACTACTCTGTTAGTTTACATTCTGTCTTTCTGTGGAATGATCACATTTACCTTCACCCTGGACCTCGGACACATCGTCCTCGTGTTTGTCACCGCAGGGGTGCTTGGGTAAGCGTCGGTGTGCTTTAAGGGGATGGTGGGGTGAGGTTGTGATTCTGAAGTGCTATTACCGTATGTTTTTAATTTTTCAAGTTCATCCAAGGCTTCTTTAACACTTTAAACTCTAAAAGATTCACCGTGTGCATATAAATGTATAATTCTCTAGAAATACAAAAAAAATTTAAATTATTTTTTAAATAATATTTTTTAAAATTTAAATAATTTAAAATTATTTTTTGGTTTATGTGGGTGAAAAACGGATAAGCCTTACTTAGTCCCAGTAACTTTATTTAGTTAGAAAGGCAACTGATTCGGAAAACTAGCAGTACATTTTTCTCAGAAAAAAAATTAGAAGTTGTTTTCCTTCTCAGTTCTCGTGACCTTGGACTGCCTGATGAACGATGGTGCCTTACTTGCTTGCATACATCAACTTCAGAACATTCCCTTATTTGATCATTAGAATAGGTCTGAGAAGTAGATTGATCGCCTCAGTATGTGTTACCGTCCTTCTGCTCATTTTGTAACTCTGGGTTTATTTTCCTAGTTTCTTCATGACTGGTTACCTCCCCTTGGGCTTTGAATTTGCTGTTGAAATCACTTACCCTGAATCTGAGGGCACTTCTTCGGGTCTTCTTAATGCTGCTGCGCAGGTAACCCTCTGTTGCCCCTCTGCCTGAGATGATTTGTTCACCGAATACTCTAGCGGATAATGAGTTTGCCCTAGATTTTGTTTTGAAATTCCACCTTTCAATGGATATTTCTAGAAGCCAAATCAAATGAATACAAGAGCTAAGGAAAGTTCCGGGGAAAACATATTTCTTTTTAAAAAGCGGCCCTGGCTGGTGTGGCTGCAGTGCATTGAGCACCGGCCTGCCGACTGAAAGGTCACTGGTTGGATTCCCAGTCAGGGCACATGCCTGGATTTCGGGTCAGATCCGTGGTTGGGGGTGTTGCAATCAACCAATCAATGTTTCTCTCCCTCTCTTTCTCCCTACCTTCCCCTCTCTAAAAATAAATAAACAAAATCCTTTTTTAAAAGTGAACTTCATAAAGTAATTCTCTTATTTTATTTTAGATATTTGGAATTTTGTTCACACTGGCTCAAGGAAAGCTCACATCAGACTACAGCCCTAAGGCAGGAAACATTTTCCTCTCTGTTTGGATGTTTGTGGGGATCATTTTAACAGGTACACATGCATGTTGATTCCGAATGGCTTGGCAGGACTCAAGGAGAAGATGAGATAAAAAGCAGGATATTACTTGTTTCCTTTCAGTGATATGAATCTGTTCGTTTATCTTTCGGGTTTCAAATTCAATACGATTGCTAGGCATAGAAAACAAAGCTGCTGTAACAAAAGGCAGTCAGGAGCTGGAGTGGGCGATACCCGGCCTTAAGTGCTGATTCTGTTACTCCCTGGCTGCGTGACTTTAGACAAGCGACTCAAACTTTCAGATCCTCCTTTCCTCCCTTGCGATAGGGTGTTTAAAAGCCTGACTTAGAGGGCTGTCCGTGAGGGTCAGCGAAGGTGATCCAGGAAAAGCTCCGAGCACAGTGTCTGAGGCCGAGGACACGCCTCCTCGCGTTAGCTGTTGCCCTGTGGGCCGAAGTCAGAGGGCAGCGGAGGGACGGGTGCTGGGCGTGGTTAGCCAGTTCTCGCACTTCTCGGGTGTAATCAGAGTAGACGTGAGCAGGAGCGTGAATCGTGCCCGACCTCTAGAGGAAAAGCCTGTTGAAGAACTCGCGTCCATCGTTTGTCCAGGCACGCAGTGCGAAACTGGGCTTAGAGGCGCGATGTGTCCGGTAGTGCTCTCTGGCCCAGCCTGGCTCCTGCTGTAATTCTCACTTCATTCATTTCTTTCTGCCCTCCTTGACCAACACGAGAGACAGAATCCGTCAGAAAGACGTGAATGAAGGCTTCTTTTCATGGTCATTGAGTGCCTGTTCATTCGTTTGGAAGCCCCCCACATGGAATCTTACCAGCAGTCAGCAGGCACATTGGAAATACACAGCCAGCGAAGGCCGCTGTCCGTCACCCACCATGTTGAACGACAGCGACTGCCCCGCGCCCTCCAAGGAAAACATCCTGCAGGAGCATCTGAGCTGTAGCCTCCTGACAGATGTGGTCAGTTGGGTTCAGATAAACTCAGAAAAATTACCTGAAGAAACAAAAGCACATCCTACTTTGAGGGAGCCTTTCCCCTGTTCTCTTCAGTTAGTAAAGTAAAACATACAAAACTGTGAGACATGTAATACAGTAACCGTCATAGGTAATTCCACATTGGTTCTGAACCTCCAGGGAAGTAACATTTGCCTATTTATTTAATAGACACTATTCGTGCTATTGTGGACCCGGAAAAGAGAGCCGTTTTGAGCTCTGTGTTCACCTTATTTGTATGGTCAGATGAACAAATGTCAATTCCAATATTTTCAAGTCTAGAAAATTAATGAAGTGAATAAAGAGCTTTAAAATAGCTTTACATCGATGCTTCTGCCATCTAAAAATGCTAAGTCATTTGTCTCACATATTGCGAGTATTTTGCTGAGAGAGTGTGATGGATTTTATGTCCAGCGCTCATTTGCGAGGACAGGAAAGAGGGCTGGGAAGTTCCTGAGGTGTGGTGAAGGCGGCGCCTTTTCTTTCTGCATTTTCCCCCCCGAGGGTTGCTGGGCGTTCCTGCTCTGACCCAGGAATCAGCATTTGGGTGCAGTGCACTTTGCTTTCCAGCAGTGACAGCTGTCTGTACAGCGCGTTATCTGTCTGTAGTCCATTTCCATCCATTGAAAACAGTAGGCGATAATGCCATTCATCATGTTTCTAAATTCTATAATTAGCATTAATGATAGAGAAATACATTTTCTTCCTATTAAAAAAGTACGTGAGTAGCCTCTTTGATCTGGCAAATCATACACCACTGCAGAGCTGCTCATCAGTGGCGATCACTGCTGAATTTAAAGCTCGTGTTTTAACATCTCCTGCTTTTAAATGTGATCTCGTTACACGCCAGCACCCGTTTCTTCAAAGTCATCTAAATGCATTTAGAAAAGCCATGTTTACGTGTCCAGTTACTCAGCATAAATATCTGAATTTCTAGACCACTGGCATCAGCAACAGAGCAGAATCATAGGGGCAGTGCAGATTTCATAGGCTAACTTTTACAACACCAATTTTACTTTCATCTTTTATTTTCACTTTGCTTTATGACTGCTTAGGTTAGTTAACTACCCACAAGCTTTTAGCTCCATTTCTTATTTTACACTCTCGTTGAGCAGTCTGTGGCACTAACTACCACTTATGCTAGTAACTCCAAAGCTGTGTCTCCACATCGTAATTAAAGTGCCAATGGCTGAAGATAAAGAGAGAATCTTAAAAGAAGCAAGAGAGAAGCAATCGGTTACCTACAGGGGAGTTTCCATAAGAGTGTCAGCTTATTTCTTAAAAGAAACTTTGCAGGCTAGAAGGGATTGGCAAGAAATATTCAAAGTTGTGAAAAGCAGGGACCTACAGCCAAGATTGCTCTACCCAGCAAAGCTGTCATTTAGAATGGAAGGGCAGATAAAGAGCTTCTCAGACAAGAGAAAACTAACTAAAGGAGTTCATCATCACCAAACCATTATTATATGAAATGTTAAAGGGACTTATTTAAGAAAAAGAAGATCAAAACCATGACCAATAAAATGGTAATAAATACATATGCATCAACAATTGAATCTAAAAAAAAAAAAACAACCCTAAGCAAACAAGAATGGAGACAGAATCATGGATAGAGATTCTCTCTTTCACGGTTGCCGGATGGGAGGTGGGGCAATGGGTGTAGAGGTGAGGGGATGAAGAAGTACAAACAGGTAGTTACGGAATAGCCATGGGGATGTAAAGGACAGTGTAGGAAAGGGAGTAGCCAAAGAACTTATACATATGCATGACTTAAGGACATGAACAATGGTGTGGGGATGGCCCAGGGAGTGGGGGGTGCTGGGTGGAGGGGAGCAATGGGGGAAGAATTGGGACAACTAATAGGATACTCAATAAAATATAATTTTAAAAAGAACTTTGTAAACACTAAAAAACCATCTGTGCCTCTGGACCCTGACCGCTTGCACGCTTCAGACCATGTCCAATCCTGCATTTATCTCTGGACCTGGATGCTCCGTGGTGTGTTGTGCTCAGCCCGTCCAGGACTGAACTCACCATCTTCCCACCACACGGGTTCCTCCTGGGTTTCTAGTTTCAGAGACTAGGACCACTGTCCATATCCATTCACTTGCCCAAACGAGAAAATTCAAAAGTCACTGTTTTCTTTCTCTTCTTCTGTCTTCATATTCTCTGTGTGTGTTTGTGTTATTGAGCATTTAAGCGGCATTTTACCTGCTTTATGGCCATTTTTCATATTCTATCAAACCACCAACTCTTACTGGTTCTGTTCTAAAGGATCTCCGAAGCATGTCCCTTTGTTTACATTTCTCAGACAGGCGACTCACACCAGCTCCCAGAAGAATTAAAGCCTCTTAACTGACCTTCCTGCCTCTAGTCTTGTTGCCAATAGCTACCCTCCACGTAGCTGCCAGATTGAGCTCCCTAATATATAGCCCTGTTACTACTCCCAAAGTTCGTGCATGTGCCAGACGCTTCAAAAGGCCAATGTTCAAATTGTTGGAGTTTGCAGTAAGGAAAGGTTCCTTGACGGAGAAGGCGCCAGCTGGAGAAGATGAGGGTGGGGGACCTTAGAGCTGCCACAACGCCATCTTAAGAGAGCCCAGAAGTCAGGCTGCCTTCAGTCAAGAGGAGGGAGAGTGGGTGGGGCAAAGAGTGACTGGCCACCCCAGACACCCGGGGGCCAGCAGGGATTCTGGGAAGAGCCAGGAATCTCTACATCTCTGTTCCCTGTCTGTTGCTCTTGAGGCTCCTGAAAATCTTTGATAAACGATTATTATTTTGTACACACATCCTCACCTCCTCTGAGAGTCACCCCCTGGCAAGGGGCCATTCTTCCAAAAACTCAAGCCTCAAGCAGAATGTCTGTAATGATTAGCAAATCTATAGGAGCAGGTATTTGCCTGAAGGCTGTGGGGAAATGCAGGCCAGAGGTAAGGTAGAGACTGAGGGCCAGCGTTTCACTCTGTCACTGTCACAGGCCGACAGTGTCCTCCCCTCTCAGGTGCAGTGTCAACAATACCTGCCAGCCCAACCTCTTCTCCAGGCCTCCCTCAGTGACCCCTGGCGACCTTCGTGCCAGGAACAGGCTGTGGGCTTCCTGTCCCCACGTCTTCGCATAGACTGCATTCGCCGGCCCAGGTGTCTCCCTCTCTCCTCTCCTGTGCTGGACAAGCTCCTACTCATTGTTCAAGTTTCAATCCAAATATGTCTCCTCTGGAAAGCCATCCCCAATTTCCTTTGGCTAACACAGCATTTTTTCCTCCCATGCTCCCACTCCCCCACATGCAAAGCTGAGGTATTGCAGTTACTGTAATTGTTACAATTGTTTGCGAGTCAGTATTTCCCTAGATTGGAGGGTGAGTTAGGGAAGGAACTGCACTGTTCATCTTTATATCCTTATTTCCTAGCATCCTGCATTTGCTCACTGACTAATGACTTCCTAATTAAGCTAATGGCTTAGGGAGGTACTATTATCTTTTTCAGACTACATGGATGCTGTTGTATACCATGGCACTGTGCGTGCTACATTTGATGACACCAAAAAAGACTTAGCAGCGCTTAGAGAAAAGTATGTTCGTGAACACCCTGTGGTAACTCTCTTGATGCTTCTCTGTTTCAGCATTAATCAAGTCCGATCTGAGAAGACACAATATAAATATAGGAATTACAAATGGCAATATTAAAGCTGTAAGTACTAAATATTTTTATGATCATGCTGTTGAGAAATGTGTGCATGGAATAAGTGTGAAACCAATCTATCTGCTCAGCTCGATTTTGATTCCTGAGCCCACTACTATTGATCCATCACCATGGCATCGGCAGACGCTGTGAATGTTCTTTATCTTCTGATTCTTTCTACAGGTCCCGGTTGAGAGTCCCACAGAGCAAGAATCAAAAACTGCTATGCTGTTCGAGCAGTCAGAATCAGCGATTTGAGGTGGAAGGGGGCGGTAGTGTCACGTGGTAATGAGCACATTATCACGGTTTTTAGGTGATGGGAGAGGAACACTCACTTGTACTGTGTGGCCCCGAAATGCAGTCCCTGTTTTTGGTTCATTGTTAACTTAAGCAATATTTTATTTAGAGTGCTTTTGTTTACATCATCTTAACACTACCGTTTACCTAACAAGTGTCCCATTTTTCATCTCAGATGGTCGACCTGAAAGTAAGCTTCTTGACATTTATTTGTCAAAAGGACATGGTTTTCCTTTTGTAGAAAACGGAAGCCTCCATGGCTTTCTCTCATGATCGCGTGGATGTCTGATCCCGTTCAGTCACCTAAGAGCATGGTTTGTTTGTAAAAATGTCCGGGAGAACCACATGCACCGTGTGCTCCTGACCCGCTCCCTGTGCCCCCGTGGGAGCCCCCCCACCCCGACCTCCATGCGATGCGGTGTGGCGACACGCTGCTTCCGGTCCATCAGGGTCGGCGCTGGGACGGGGCTTCCAGACAGCTGCTATGACTGGCCTGTCTCTAGTATTCTTGTTACAACACGCTTTGTAACAGGTATGGTCAGTGTCCATAGAAACCATTCAGTGCGGTCAGCTCCAGTCTCCTGTCTGATGAGGCCGAGGAGCCAGACACGCCGTGATCCTGAGTTCTCTGCTGTGCCTTCCTTCATGGCAGACGTGGTAGCACTGTTTTTTTCACTCCAGTGAGACAGAAAAATTTTGTACCTGTTGGCTTTTTCACTTGTCCCCTTTTTTTTTTTTTTTGGTGCAGTATATAACTTTCTAGTAGGAAAATGCCATGCTCTGTGTTACTGGCTTTTCCATCACTCCTTGTGTCACATCGTATACTTTCACCTTGAAGATTCCTGAGATAAGGAACTCTCCGCTCCGCCTGGGTGTTCCGACTCCGTGGGGACCTCTTCAAGTGCTGTGCGTCCTCATTCTCCCGTGTCATTTTTGTGACCCTTCTCCTCTGAGAACTACGGCCCCGGGCGCGTGCTCCCTCCGTGTGTCGAGAGAGGGGCCCCTTGTCCTCACCGCAGACTGCACAGTGTCCACACTACAGGGACAGTCCACTCTGTCACACGCTCAGGGTACGCAGACCAGGACCAAATGTGTCTCCACAGTGCCTACCTCTGCCTGCTGTTTACAGTGCGAATTTAAATGTTGTTGGCGTTCTGACTCTCGGAGCTGATGTGGGAATATGGTCTTCAGAGTAATGACGTTTGAACAGCCGTAGTACTTATGTGATGTCCACACTCACAGCAAGAGCCAATCAGGGACACCCTTGGTGCCTCGGAAGGGAGTGACACCTCTGATCTGGGCACAGCGCTCCATTGCTTCTCCCTGAAACTCGGCATCCTCTGTCATCAACCCGACAGCCCCTCACGTGGAAGCTTCCCCGGGGGCTGTGTCATCAGAACAACTTTGCTGGGAACCGTGAGCTCCAGGTCCACACCCTGGATCTGTTTCTAGCTATCCCTGTCACTTTCTGGGCAGCATTTCCTTCCTCCATAGAAGGAAGGAATGCGTTCAGTGTGACCTCAAAGGTCTTTATAAAATTTTAGATGCCATTCATCTGGGGTGGACCAAATCACGGCACCAGAAGAACTCAAATACAGTGGAGACGGTCCCTAGGCAATTGGGATAAACCACTGTGGTCATTACTCTGTGGACATAGGGAGTTTAAAATCTGCTTTTAGCCTTTTAATTCAGTTGCTGATAGCTCAGGCAGAGTATGCTGACTCATTACCTTCCTTAGCTGTTGATGGCACAGGTTTTATGGCCAAAAATATATTTTAAGGTCCCTCCTGTAAATGATTGTTTTTATTTTTAAACTGCCAGTGTTGTTTAACATAATCATGTAGTTGTTGAATTCCTGAGGTTTGGAACAAATTACAGATAAAAATTGGAATACTTTGTTTTGAAAGCGTATGTATATATACGTCATGGGTATTTTTCCTTGTTGATCAATAAAAGAATGAAATATGATATGATAAAATGCAAAATGAATTGATAATTTTTCTGTATTCTTAGTTAAAGTTGTCTGTGATATGTCAGACAAGAACGTCATATAATTCTGTGTCGTATCTTTGGGAAATGGAGTTGAGTAACTGACACTTGTAAAAATTTTAACCAAATGATTCCAGAAAGAAACCGGATGCTTTCAACAGCTGTTGCATTGATAAATGTTGCAAATGCAGCTTTTGCTTTTTGGGAATGTGGGGAAATGTCTTTAAAACTCTGTCATGTGTAAACTCAGAGTATTGTTGGGAGAATCTTGGTCTACCTTAAGTCATTCTTCATGTTCTAATTTTTAAAAAGATTTTATATATTTATTTTTAGAGAGAAGGGAAGGTAGGGAGAAAGAGAGGGAAACATCAATGTGTGGTTGCCTCTCACACACCCCCTACTGGGGACATGGCCCACAACCCAGGCATGTGCCCTGACTGGGAATCAAACCAGTGACCCTTCACTGCAGTCTGGTGCTCAGTCCACTGAGCCACACCAGCCAGAGCTCATGTTCTTATGTTTTGCTCTTTGTAATATTTATCTGTATGCTTGTCCTTCAGTATTTCAAACTTGAAATAAATTTATTTTTTTAACATCAATTTTGTATGGCTTTTTTTTTTTTTTAATTTAAGTTCTGATACTTAGGTACACTGGGGAGTGGAAAGGGATTGTAAGATTCCGGCATGGGCGGAGGCAGGAGCGAAGTGGTGTGTGGAACTAAACCAGCACAGTGGCGAGGGCGTACGCCTCTCCTTGCCTTGATGCCTGTCTCCTCACTGGGCAGATGGGCTGCCCCCGCTGAGCCACCGGGGGACACTATCCCCTAAGCTTCAGACTTCATCTTTTTCTCCTGGTGGCGTGTGCCCACGTGGTACCTTACATCGTGCGGGGTGTGTCCTTTTTCCTCAAGGCCTTGCTGATTAATGTGATAAAACCAATCTACTCATTTCTTCATTAAGACAGAGCATGATAAATGTTCTGGCTTCCACCGGCAGGACTGGGTAGTTTGTTAAAGAGGCCGAAGAGAAGAGAATTGGTAGCTGCAAGAGAAGACGCTACCTCTTAGGTACCTGGGAGCTGTAAGAAAAGGTCACTGCCCTCTTGTCACACCATTTTAATTATAATTCGTGTGATACTTGGAGGCGAGGTTTCTAGCTCTGTTAATTTTATACAGAGCAAAACGTTCAGGCAAAGACATCAAACTGAAATGTAAAATGATACATACACTTTTATCTATAAAGTTACCCTATAATAAATAGAAACTTCAAAATCTAAGACCTTTCTCAGATCCCTTTGAGAATCTCTAAAATTACATTTACATTTTTAGTGGAAAAACTACTTCCATCAAAAAAAAATACAATTCTCATTTTTCATGGCAGGCGAATATATAGGATAAGTAAGGCGTTTCTGAAGCCAGCTCTTCCTCCTGCAACCCACCTGCCCAGCCTCCGCTTCCCAGACCGACACACTGCTCCCACCAGACTGCCCCTCCCTCTCTGGAGTCAAAATAGTCATTCCCATAGACAACCAGCCGTGAGTGACAGGGGCCTGGACAGGATCCATGCCTGGAAAATGCCTCCATGACATTTCACGGGAGATAAAATGCCTTTGGGGCCCTGAAGACAGATAAAGGTTTCGAAGCACATGGACCATCAAGAGGCGACACCTCTGAAGTCTGTACTGAGATCTGCTCATGTCCTGTGAGCAGGTTTGAATAGGAGGCAGGAAGAGATGGGCTCTGGAGACCCCAGAGCCGTAAAGTGAGGAGGAGAACAGGATTCGGCGGAGAGGGGAAAACCTCAGGACAGGCAGAGCATGAGAACTCCATTTTCCATGCAGACAAAGGACAAATTAGGTCTCTCTGCCTAACCTTGTTATATTATTCATTTGCACTTTTCCTTTATTTCCATTTTTAAAAATATTTTAGTTTTAAAGAGGGGGGAAAGGAAGGAGAGAGGGAGAGAAATATTAATGTGTGGTTGCCTCTCACGTGCCCCTTACCCTGGCCCACAACCCAGGCATGTGCCCTGACTGGGAATCGAACCGGTGACCCTTTGGTTTGCAGGCTGGTGCTCAATCTACTGAGCCACACCAGCCAGGGCTATTTCTATAATTTTAAGCCCATGATGAAATGGTAATTAAAAAGAGAACGAACTGTCAGAAACCAATACAAACTGGATTTCTGGTCGGGGCCTCTAGGTTTGGGGTGATAAAGGCGGGTGAGCACACCTCTCTCTTTCTCGGGGAAACACCTCATTCCTGCAGGCACTGAGGTGGCCCCAAACCTCCCGAAATTAACTGGTAGATTAAACTTCAGATAGATAACTGATAGGTAAAGCTTCAGAATGCATAGAAGTGAGGCTGAAATAAAAGTGAATGATTTTATTCCCAGTGAAAAGCCTGAACCTTCCAAACATTTTGACCCAAAACCAAGACAAGTAAGCTCTAGATCAGGGCTGCCCACCCACAGCCCGCAGGCCGCATCGGCCCGAGATGGGTACGAATGCGGCCCAGCACAAAATCGTACATTTACTTAAAACGTTACTTAGTTTTATTACTCAGATGTGTATATTTTCTACGTTAGTAATCACAAACTTGGGACCTGCTCGACAATTTTAAATGATTATCGAAAAGGCCGCTGCATAGTTAGGGAAATGATGTGAGGATGTTTTTTGCTTATCTGTGGTGGCAGATGTCATGAAAATTATGCATGGACCTTTTTTTGGTTCATCAGTTTTCATCAGTGTTTGTGTATTTAATGTGTGGCCCAAGACAACTCTTCTTCCTGTGTGGCCCAGAGACGCCAAAAGGTTGGACACCCCTGTTCTAGATCATTCTGGCTAGAGCAGGACTGATGGGTGGACAGAGCTTCCAACTGCACAGTGAGGAGGTCAGTATTTGGAAGGAAGTTCTGGAGAGGTCACAGGTAGACATAGATTCATGACCTGCAAACCTATGCAATATTTAGCACTGTTATTCAGTTTCCGAGTCTAGTTAGACTGTGTTATTTATGTGCATTATTTTATTGCCTCTAGTGCATTGTGACCCCTTTAAAAGCATCCATCTTGGTAGGTAGGGCAAAAACATGGCCTTTGGGAGCCTAAAGTCTTAGGTGTGAAACCTGGGTGTCTGTGATCTTAGAAAACTCATGTAAACCCTCTGAATTTAAGTTTCTTTCTCTACTAAGTAGGATAATATTTCCTACCTTGCAGGTTTGTGGAGAGGATTAAATTTAAGTGGAAGGCACACAGTTGATCCTTAATAATAAATCTGACCCATTAGTGTGCTCATTGCGAGAAACAGTATAAATAGGGACTCGCTGTTCATAACACTTGAGAGGCACTTGACTGACTTGGGAGAACATGGTGTTTGTGTCTTTGAACTTGAAGTTATTTATAGCAGCTGCCACCACTAAAATCACTTATATCCACAATATTTAGCCACTTCCGTGTGCACGTGGGTGCAATGCTGGGCACTGTGCAAATAAAATGAAACAAAAAGGTATTCTAAAGTGGTGGTGAGATCCCCGCCAACAGGATGGAATCAAAGTACTTGGGCATCAAAGAACAAAACTGAGTCACCCCAGTGGGCGGAAGAAATGGTTTCTCTGTCTATTGCACAGCCCACAACAAAGGAGATTGAGTGACAAGCTGGGAAGGAAGGAGCTACTGGCACGTCCACTGCACAGACACTATTCTTCACTTCTCTTTGTTGCCGTTTCATTCACATGCATGTGTCATCATACATAGGTATAAAGCAATTTGTACATTTGATATAACATCGTAAGCTTCTCCCATGTTATTACATGACCTGTATATCTATTATTTTATTTTTTCCAGTTGTATTGAGATATAACATTATATTCCTTTAAGATGGTCAACATAATGATTTCACATATGTATATATTGCAAAATGATTGCCACAACCAGTTAACATCCATCACCTCGGGCAGTCACAAAGGTTTTCCTTGTGATTGGAAGTTTCAATATATACTCTATTAGAAACTTTCAAATTACCATTATTTTAAATAATTGCATAATATTCCAATAAGGCTGATATACTATAATTCACTTAATGGTTCATTACCCGTGGGCGTGCATTTCATTAACTTATGTAACATTTATTGAGCATTTACAGATTTTTCATGGTTCATGTCAGGAGCTGGAAATACAAAACAATGTCCCTCTCGAGAGATGCTCAAAGACAAGAAGATAAACGATCAAAGTGCACAGCACTTGGGAAGAGGCTGTACACCTGCAAATGAACCGGGAGCTCGGGGGAGGGGCACCCCCCACCCCCTCGGGACAGGGACCCGCGGGGCACACTCAGCTCTCACTGTGCAAATCACGCAAGGCTTTTCTCTTCTTTTGAACAGAGGAGGATTAAAACACGTAGGGAGCCCTAATGTCATCGTTTTACGCGCCTTAACTCCCTCTGCCCGCCCCATCACTCACCCTCACCTTCTAGTTTGCCGACAACTTCCTGCAGCTCCCACCACCTCTAGAGAAGTGATGGCCGGAAGTATAATCCCAGATGGCATTTGCATTTTGAATTGGTCTAGTCTAGCAGGTAAAGCTCAGATAGTCTCAGTCGTCCAGCAAGACAGACTACGTGGTAAGAGAGACCATGCGAGTCTCCTCGTGTTCCTGAAATCACTCTGCTTTAGGCTGGTGCGTCTTTGGCCTGCTCGTAAATCTGACTTTTCCTTATCCCTGAAAACCCGCCCCTGGACCCACACTTGGCGCAGGGACTCAGGAGCCATTTCCACTCCAAAAAGGGGGGAGCACCCCCTCTACTGGTCAGTTCAGGAACTGTTTCATACTGGAATTTTCACCAGATTGCTGTGAGTGAGTGCGTTGCGGGGATGAGGGGCGGCAGAGGACTCCTGGTTTGGAGACGTGGCTGAAATGAAGTGGCACGTCCCTGTCCCCACCCCCAACACACATACACACGTTAAACGAATGCGTGCGCTCTCACTCCCACTGTGTGGGCACCGCAGCACGGGCCAGGGGTGAAACACTAGCCATCAACAACCTTTCACATTCCTAGTGACACTTCCAAGGCAAGCAATGGGATGGTCGCTGAACGTGCCGACTCAGCCTAGCCGCTCTGCACAACTTCTGTCAAATGAGAAAGAACACGATGCGTTCCCACTGGCGTCGGCTCCTCGGTGCAGTCCACGGGCCATTCCTGGGCCCTCGGGGTGCGCTCTGGCTGTGCTGCTCCGGGCCGTCCCCAGATACCCCTGAGCCCGGCCGTGTGCTGCGTCGGTCCCCGGGCTCCGCTGACCAAAGAACAAAACGCAGAGTCTGTGCGGAAAGGCGACAGGCTCTCGTTGGGCAAGAGGATGTGAAGAGCACGTTAGGGTTGGAGCCAGGCGCTTTGGATCACGCGAAAACGAGCTCTGCGCGTTTCCTGTACTCGGGAGAGGGAACGCAGCGTGTCAGGTGTGACGTCACTCCTCAGCGTTGCCCTCTGTCTTCTGCTTCCCAGGCAGACTTCCACCTGCTGGCACACCTGGAACAGGATGCTACAGGGCCCCCCAGAAGTAACGCCTGTTTGAGGGTGGTCGATGGGGCAATAATATGGATGT